GCTTGTTCAGCTCGAGCGCCACGGCGTGCATGAAATCGTCCTCCTGTCGCGCGGTGGGGAAGAACTCCGCCATCGTCGCCAGCGCCGGCAGTGCCGCCTGCTTCACGCGCTGCACGGCGGAGCCGTTGCTCCCCGACGCGTCCGCCACGGAGGCGGTGGTGTCCACGACGGGAGATGCGGCGGCAGTTGCGGGCGTCGCGACGGCCGCGGCGGGAGCGACGGCTGGGCCGGGGCTGGGGAAGGTGATGTTCACGACGTAGTAGGTCGCGCCACCGGCGGCGGCGGGCTGGATACCGGTGATGTCAGAGCTCGCCATGACGACGCCATGTTGTCTGCACGACGCGCAGGCGCACGACGGGCGGTGCGCAGCGGCGTACTTGGCTGCCGGGGCCGCCTTGGCTGACCTGAGCCCGGTAAACGCGGGAAGCGCGGCGGCGCGGGTGGATGTGGTCAGGCTAGAGCCGGCAAGGGACAGGGAGCGGGCAGACACCGCTGCGGAGGTGGAGAGAGCTGCCATGGCGTCGAAGACTGTGAGGGTAAGAGCTTCTGACGTGAAGATGAGCAGCCGCGTAGGTGAATGGAAAGTTAAGAAGAGCGTCGTTGATTAATAAAATGCGAATTGCACGCTTATTTATGCGTGAACCATCAGGTACAAGCTCTCACCAGCCAAAATGGAGCGAGCACGGGCATGAGATTAGGATCCTGGGAAAAAGGGAAATGCGTGAATTGGCCATCCGTGCCTGGCGATGCTCAGTGCTCACTCACACGCGCGAAGCGCGCAATTGTGTGGAAATTTGGGGGCGAATAACGATTTCACCTCCGTTTCCTCCCCTTTCCACATTCCCCGTCCACCTCTGAAAGTAAAGTGGGTGGTGTTCCTCGTCAGCGTCCATCTCAATGACGTCAGTTGCTGTCCACGTGCATCCGTTTCTTTGGTGGTCGAACCTAATCGAACCCTCCCTGAAAGGGAGAACATCAGTGAGACAAGGCGACTCCTCTTCGATGATATGCGCACAACATCGCCCGCGTTTCCCTAAATTTCGAGCCCGAGCGGGACACGATCCTCTTCGGTGACGGATAAGGGGACGAGAAAAGCTGGACCGCAGATGATACCTGGGATGCACATGACTTGCAAAACCGGACAACTGATCCACGTTATCCCAACCACACCTCATCTGGAAGCTACGTTCGCGAGTCAATGTCACGGATTTCGGCATTGACTTGCAGCACTAAGAACGGCTGCGGTTAGAAAAACTCATGCAGTATTATGACTTGTAACGTACAGATAACATGGAATTAACAAATAACCCAATGTGCCTAGGCCTAAACTAGGCAATGCAACTCGAGTAAAGCTAGCTGGGCTTTCACCTTAGTAACTAAGTTTGGATGCTCGGGCTGGGATCCGTAGAAAGATAGCCCTGGAGTTGAGGAACTCAAAACATCGAAATCGTGGCTACACATGTAACTTGTTGAGTCATCTTGGTGGTCACGTCGCTGCAACTCTCGCAGGAGAATATACCTCACGTCGATGTGCTTCACTCTTCTCTCCGGTTGGGGCTCTCGACACAGAAGGATCATGGCCTTGTTGTCAGCGAGCAGGGTCGGTGAGCAAGAAGATCAACCAGCAAAGCTCCTGTGCAGCCATGGCACCGGCATAGATCTCCGTCTTTGCGCTAAACTGCGCCACAGACAACGAACATGAACACCTCCACGACACAGCTCCAGCGCCCAAGCTGAAGCGGTAACCCTGAGTAGACCGCTGAGTCTACACGTCGTCGGCGTAGGAAGAGTCGCAGTGACCGGTCAGCACAACTGGTTGTGTCCTTCCAAGCACAAGCCCCATGCCTAATGTAGTCACCAGGTACTTCGCCACCCTCACAGCAGCCGTCCAGTGAACAGGACGGTGTCTCCCAGTCGCAACAAAGCGAGACAGGGCGCTGAAGGGGAAAGCGAGGCCCGGACGAGTACAAGTCATCAGGTACATGAGGCGCCAACAAGCTCTACGTAGGGACCACTGGACTCGAAGGGCTCGTCGGGAAAAGTGTCGGTGGGTCTGTGGTCGACGGCAAGAGGAGTGGCCTGTGTGGTGGAGATCTGAAACCCGAACCCCAGAAGGACCTGCTACACCATGTGTGACTGAGAGGGTGTTATGGTGCGAGCGGTTCTGTCCCTGGTGATATGCAAGCCAAGGTAGCGGCGCAGTTCACCCAGGTCAGTGCACATGTGTCTCTTCTGCAGTTCGGATTTCACCTCAGCCAGAGCGACCCTGTCGGGTGTAGCAAAGACAAGGTCGTCGACGTAGACAAGAACGAAGAACGGAGTGGAACCAGTGCGAAAAAACAGCGACGGGTCGGCGGACGAAGGACGTAACTCGAGGTCAGCAAGAGTGGTGCATAGCGTGTCGTGCCACTCACGGGGCGCCTGGCGGAGACCGTAGACTGGTCGCCTCAGGCTCCACTGGGTCCCAGGCGGGAAAGTGCCAATGAAGCCAGGAGGACGACGCAGCCAGATCTCCTCGTATAGGCGGCCCTGGAGAAAGGAAGTGAAGAAGTCGAGGGAGTGCAATTCGTAGTCTCGCTGTGCTGCAACGTGAAGTAACACCCGAAGAATTGTCTTTTTTCGGGGTCGGGGCGAAGGTCTGGAAGAAGTCAATTCCCTCACGCTGACTGAAGCCCCTAGCCGCGTAGCGCGCATTGAAGACAGGCGATGATCCCGGCGGCCGCTTCACCTTGAAGATCCACATGACATCGACTACGTTCGCCCGAGACGGGAGAACTGCGTCGACGTAAGTGCCTGTGGATCTCCAAGACGCAATCTCTGAGTCCATGACCGCTATCCACAGAGAGGCCCACTGCTCTGACACTGCCTCACGGTACATGCGAGGAGTCGGTATGTCAAGGGCGTCAGTGTCTCCCTCAGGGGCTAGTAGCACGGCACAGAGGTGGGAAGAAGCGGCTGCCAGGAACTCCAGCACAAACTGTCTGTCCTCTAGGACGTCACAGCCAAGGGCAGACTCACCCCCGGTGAACAGAGGACGGGTAGGAGGAGAGGCCACCACATGGGTGGCGCAGTCAAGGTGGCGAGTGGCGGCAAAGTCAGTGATAACGGCAACAAGGGCCGAGAGAAACGACGAAGAGGCGCGAGGGTCCGTAAGAAGAGAGGCAAGAACACGTGAGACATTTGGACGAGCAGCGCGGTAGAAATCAGTGATAAGGTGAGAGGAGACGGTAAGAGACGACTCTGGAGGCGACGGGAGAAGACACTCAGGCGCAGAACGACGAGGACCATAACGAAGTAAGAAAGTGCGGAGGTCGTCAACGGAAGACGAGGGACGAGCACGTGGGGGACAGGGAGTGACCCGAGAGTGCGGGAAAACCAGAGGAGCGGCAGTGAACGAAGAGGAGAGAAAGCAGCCTGGGACGTGTCCAGAGGAGGAAGACCGTGAGCAGTAGAATGGTGCGGTGGAAGGTGTTCAGTACGGTGGGGAGCGGTCAGGGGGGGGTTCAATGCGGTGGAGTGCGATTGGGAGCAGTTAATCACGGTCTAGTGCTGTGGGGAACGGGGTGGCTTGTCAAGGAGCACGGACAGCAGTGCGCATCGAAGGCTCGTGAAGCTGCTGCTGCTGCACTCGCGGCTTCTGGTGGGGGGGCAGCTGCGCGTGTGGCTGCTGCTGCTGCGCGCGTGACTCCTAGTGCGTGGGCAGTTGCGCGTGGGGCTGTTGCTGAAGCTGCACGTGCGGCTGCAGAGGCGCGCGTGTGTAGGTGCAGCTTCGTGCGCTGGCGGCTGCTGCTCGTGCGCGTGCGGTTGCGCGCGCGCTCGCGGCTGCTGCTGCTGTACGTGCTGCCTGCTCGCGGCTGTGCGTGCTGCTTGCTGCGCGCGTGGCTGTGCGTGCTGTAGCTGCGTGCGTGTGGCGGGACAGGTCACGGGATGGGACGAAAAGGGGCGGGGGGAGGGGGGGGGGGGGGGGGGGGGGGGGGGGGGGGGGGGGGGGGGTGAGGGGGAGGGGAGGGATGGGGGGGGAGGGGGGGAGGCAAAGCGCGTGCGTGCAGGTGCTGCTGCGCGCGCGTTTGCTAGCTTAACTTAGGTAGGTAGCGAGAATGATGATGATTAGGGAAGGGGAAAGGGTACAGGAAGAGTGTCGAGAGTTTTTCTGTACCTCCTAAGATGTGACCCACTACAGTCTATCTAAACTATAAACATCGCTTGACAGTGTGGTACACTTCATGTACACAAAACAAGTTTCGACCATTAAAGCTGTCGCCTACATACTTCCTGCGGGAGGAGTTGGTTTATCACTTGAAAACCTGGTAGCAGAGGGCTTCGCTCCAACCTTGAATGGCGAGGTGCAGTAACTGCTTTGGGACAACCCAACCCCCCCTCTGAAAATTTGCTTGCTCAGGATTGGCTTACAGTTTTCGCGCCAATCTCCTCCCCAACCTCGATTGGTTGCAGGTTGTGGCGAAATCGCCAACACAACCCTCTCCTCCCGAAATATTTACCCCCCAACCAAACCTTTCACGAAACTGGCGGGATTCGCCAGTTCTGTTGAAAACATTCGCTCCCTCATTTCTGAAAAATGGTAACTTCGTTCCCCAATCAGCATCCGTCATAGGGTGTGCACCCGAAATGCCCCCAAAAAATACCTTTTAGTATGTAGACCGCAGCTTTAATCATGTGTCTGGCAAGTGGAATCTTGACCTGCTCTGACGTGAACAGTTTTATTCGTTAACTTTGCTGCCCAAAGCACAAATTAGCTGGGTAGAATGCACAGGTTACTGTGATTCTCAGATTGAAATTCTGCACTAGGCCGATTTCCTAAACTTTCTACTACCGGCACATTTATCCTAATGCAAAATAGTGGTGACAAGTAACACCCTTTCACAAGGGTTCTGAACATCCTGGACCCGACCTGACTTAAGTGTACTGCGCACAACAGAACGCTCTATGTGGTGTACTCAGCATTAATCTTCACATAGTCATAGCTGAGATCGCAGCCCCACGCCTTGCTGTCCCCCGGACCATCCCCAATCGAGATATCGATGATCACTGTGCCGTGCACCTCGCCCTTGCCCCTCAGATACTCACTCGCTGCCTTCCTGCTTGCGGCCAGAGGGGAGTGGGAACGAGGGGAAGGGGCATGAGAAGGAGGGGAACGGGAGTGAAAATGACAAGGGAAGTGCTGGTGGCTTGACAAAAGTGAGATAGAGTGGAGGATTCGCGAGCAACGCAAATTGTGCGTAGGGATAAGGGATGAAAGGCAGATACTTATCCAGTTCCCCCTTCCCCAGTTCCCCCTCCCCAACGCGTGCCTGTTGAAGGGCAGCGGCTGCCCCTTGTCTATGAGCAGAGTATCACCCAGGGCAATGCGCAGCAGTTGTTCAGAAGCCCTCCCCCAGTTCTCCCTCCCCCAGCACGTGTCTGTCAAACGGCAGAGGCTGCCCCTTGTCCATGAGCAGAATGTCACCCAGAGCAATGCGCAGAGCCGTGGGGTCAAAGGCCCTCCCCAGTTCCCTGTCCCCCAGTCCCCCCCCCCTCCCTTCCCACCGCCCCAGCACGTGCCTGTCGAATGGCAGCGGCTGTCCCTTGTCCATGAGGAGAATGTCACCGAGAGCAATGCGCAGAGCCGTGGGTTCAAAGGGCACTCCTGCGTACCCCGCTGCACACGCTATGCGCCCCCAGTTGGGATCGCGCCCATACACTGCCGCCTGTGAGGGAGAAGTGCGCCGTGAAAGGAGTGAGATTGAGGCTGAAAATTTTAATAAAACTTTGAAAAAACATTCCAGAGAAGAGGGTGCGGCGACCCCCGGTGAAAAGCGACCACTGAAAAAAAAAAAAAAAAAAAAAAAAAAAAAAACCAAACAAACAAATATGTGAAATGAAGGTGGTCAAGATGGGGATACGGCTACTGCTCAGCAACAATAGTACAAGGTAGAGAAACGGATTTGTTTCCACGCCAGATTCAAATTCATGGCAGATTCGATTCTGTTGCTGATTGGATATCGTGCGATTACCTTAGCAAGGGATGATGCAGCGACAGAGCGTGCAACCACAGCTGCATCAGCCTCTGTCGTTGCTCCTGCCACATGCACCTGCAGTTGTGGTTGATGTGCGTTCAGGGCACATCAAGACGGACGAGGAGAAAAGGGGTTGAGGGTGGAGGGTCCGGAGAGGAGGAAAGTAGGGAGTGGAGAGCAGGGAGATTAGGGAAGGAGGATAGAAGGGAAGGGGAATGGGTGAACAGAAGCAAAGAGTGACACAGTATTGGAAGTGCTGAGTAGAGCAGAACAAGGAAGCGAGGAGAAGGGAAGAGCAGGGAGTTACATGTGCCCGTTTCTCACATTATTGATTCGGGCACTCACCCTGATCCCCCCACTAGCCCCAACCAAGTGCCCCTCTCCCTCTCCCGCTATTAAGCACAAGACTTGTCGCCATGCGCATCTAAAGTGCCCCAACAGTGGCCCCACCACCACTGCATCCGCATGCGTGCGCTCTTGCAAGGGCTTGTGCAAGCGCTAGCGCACACGCGTGAACTAGTGTTGGTGCTTGCACTGGTGCTGTTGGTGCTTCAGTTGATGCTTGTGCTTGAGCTGGTGCTTGGTGATTGTGCTTGGGCTGGTGTGTGTGCGCACCTCAATGAGGCAAGTGGCGCCCTCCCCATCCCATGCGATGGCCTTGGCCAACCCTTGACACACCTGCCGGGGGATGGAGGGGGCAAGGGCGGGGGTAAGGGTGGAGGAAGGGCGTGGGACAGGGTGGAGGAAGGGCGTGGGAAGGGGAGAGGAGGGGAGAAAACGACGGTCAAGGGAAAGGGGAATGGAGAAGAGTTCGAGAGGGGAAGGGGGGCTGGAATGGAGGGTGAGATGGAAGGAAAGTGCGACGACAGGTGCGCTGGAGGGTGGAATGCACTCAAACGGAGAGTGGACGAGTGAAGGACCTTTCAAGAGAGAGCCTCACCGCGTCCATGGCGGCCTGCAGCTGCCTGCCCTCCTCTGATGCACTGTCTGCAATCACAGCGCCCCCTGCCTTGCCGCTTGCCAGCGCGATCACACAGTCATTGGTGCTTGTGTCCCCATCCACCTGTGGGGGATGGGGGGAAGTGGGACGAGAGGAAGTGGGACGAGAGGAAGTGGGACGAGAGGAAGTGGGACGAGAGGAAGTGGGACGAGGGGAAGTGGGACGAGAGGAAGTGGGACGAGGGGAAGTGGGATGAGAGGAGGTGGGATGAGAGGAAGTGGGATGAGAGGAGGTGGGATGAGAGGAAGTGGGATGAGAGGACGTGGGACGAGGGGAAGTGGGATGAGAGGATGTGGGATGAGAGGACGTGGGACAAGGGGAAGTGGGATGAGAGGATGTGGGATGAGAGGAAGTGGGATGAGAGGAAGTGGGATGAGAGGAGGTGTGACGAGGGGAAGTGGGATGAGAGGAAGTGGGATGAGAGGAAGTGGGATGAGAGGAAGTGGGATGAGAGGACGTGGGATGAGAGGAAGTGGGATGAGAGGAGGTGTGACGAGGGGAAGTGGGATGAGAGGAAGTGGGATGAGAGGACGTGGGATGAGAGGATATGGGATGAGAGGAAGTGGGATGAGAGGAAGTGGGATGAGAGGAAGTGGGATGAGAGGAGGTGGGATGAGAGGAAGTGGGATGAGAGGAGGTGTGACGAGGGGAAGTGGGATGAGAGGAAGTGGGATGAGAGGACGTGGGATGAGAGGACGTGGGATGAGAGGATATGGGATGAGAGGAAGTGGGATGAGAGGAAGTGGGATGAGAGGAAGTGGGATGAGAGGAGGTGGGATGAGAGGAAGTGGGATGAGAGGACGTGGGACGAGGGGAAGTGGGATGAGAGGATGTGGGATGAGAGGACGTGGGACGAGGGGAAGTGGGATGAGAGGAAGTGGGATGAGAGGACGTGGGATGAGAGGACGTGGGATGAGAGGAAGTGGGATGAGAGGAAGTGGGATGAGAGCAAGTGGGATGAGAGGAGGTGGGATGAGAGGAAGTGGGATGAGAGGACGTGGGACGAGGGGAAGTGGGATGAGAGGATGTGGGATGAGAGGACGTGGGACGAGGGGAAGTGGGATGAGAGGAAGTGGGATGAGAGGACGTGGGATGAGAGGACGTGGGATGAGAGGAAGTGGGATGAGAGGAAGTGGGATGAGAGGAGGTGTGCTGAGGGGAAGTGGGATGAGAGGAAGTGGGATGAGAGGACGTGGGATGAGAGGACGTGGGATGAGAGGACGTGGGATGAGAGGATATGGGATGAGAGGAGGTGTGACGCTGTGACACCGGATAACAAGAGAGTCATGGGTAACCAATGACTCCGTGAGCTGCCTCAATAGAAAAGAAAACAAACACCTATCCTTAGTGAGGCAGCTGCAGCAAGGCTCACAAAACCGATTGGGTGGACAGTAGAGAGAAGGTGTTGTGTCATGACACTGACACCCGACAACAGGAGAGTCATGGGTAGCTGACGTTACTACCCGTCCTCAGCTAATTATTAGAAAAGACCCTCAAGGCCCACAAAACCAGGTAGGCGGGCAGGAGAAACTGGTGTGTGCCGAACCGCCCTGATGACTGGAGATCGTTTCGGCACACACCTATTTTTCTTACACTGGCAGTGGAGGCCTATGGTTGCGATGGCAGCCGCGCAATCAAATCCTTCCCATGCTTTGCCCACGGAAGCGGCATGCCTCAAGTTCCAAGTCGAACCCCTACGTTTCCAAAGATGGTGGTAACCACTTTCGGTAACAGTGGGCGACGGCACAGCAGTGCAGCCGAGCTACTGCGCTACGTGCAAAGGCCAACGAGATGTTGCAAATGTTCTTTATCCCTACCTGTGCCTGTCGTCGTGCATTGATATGACAAAAAGGGACCCAAATGGAGGTCCATGAGAGAGAGAGAGAGTGTGTGTGACTGTTTGAGAGAGCGCAGCAGGGCACGCACGGTGATCTGGTTGACGCTGCGATGCACAACTGTGAGACTAAGGGAAAGGGGTGAGAGGAAGAGGTGAGAGAGAGGAAGCGAGGGAGAGGAAGAGAGAGAGGGCAGCAGGGCACGCACGGTGATCTGGTTGAAGCTGCGCTGCACGGCTTGAGAGTGAGGGAAAGGGGAGAGAGGAAACGAGAGAGAGGGAGGAAGAGGAGAGCGAGGGAGGGCAGCAGGGCACAGCACGCACGGTGATCTGGTTGAAGCTGCGCTGCACGGCGGTGAGCACCACGTGCTTCCACAGGTCCGGCGCCACTGCTGCATCGCATGTCACCACCTGCAGGGGCGCGCGTGTAGGCACGTCACATGCATTTCGCCAGGCATTCGGTTGGGCATGAATGCACGCACATGGGGGCGGACGGGTCGAGGGTGGGGATTGGGGGTGAGGATGGTAAGAGTTTGCTCATACTCGCAACATGGCAACATAGCACGGCATGAACATATAACGGCCGTAGGATGGATGCATCATGCACGCACCATGGGGATGGGAGAGAGTGAGGAGAGGCCACGAGGAAAGCAAAAGTCGACTGGTCATGACAGCTTGGCAACATAACATAACATAGCATAGCATGGCATGGCATGAACATGCAGTGATTTGACACTGCCATGCCATGTACATCAGACTAAGGAACACACGCTGTACCATACATACGTTCCCTATCCCCTCACCCCTCGCCTCGGACCCCTCCTCCCTTCCCCCTCCCCCCTCGCCCCTCGCCCCTCGCCCCTCCCCCCACGCCCCTCCCCCTCCCCTCCTGCCCCTCGCTCTCACCCCGAGCATGGTGGCCATGTTGGGGTGAATCATGCCTGACCCCTTGGCCATGCCTCACCCCTTGGCCATGCCTCACCCCTTGGCCATGCCTCACCCCTTGGCCATGCCTGACCCCTCCGCCTTGCCCCCTCACCCTTCCCCTTTCCCCCGTACCCTCCATCCCCTCGCCCCTCGCCCCGCTCACCCCGAGCATGGTGGCCATGTTGGGGTGAATCATGCCTGACCCCTTGGCCATGCCTCCCAGCCGCACCGTGGTAGACCCGATCTGCGCTCACACAGGTGTGGATCGGAGGGGGTGTGGGGTGGGAGCAGGGGCGCGGGTGGAAGGCACATGGGCTGTGAAGCTATGTGGCGCAAGTGGTGGCGCCATGTTGGGGTGGATCATGCCCGACCCCTTGGCCATGCCTCCCAGCCGCACCGTGGTAGACCCGATCTGCGCTCACACAGGGGTGGAGATTAGGGGATGTGCGGGTCGAAGCAGGAGAACGGGGCAGGGAGAAGGGAGCAGGGAGCAAGGAGCAAGGAGAAGGGTGGAATGTGATGAGAATTGGAAGCGTGTTGGGCCGTGGGAGGAAAGGGGGGATGCAGAGCACCGGGGCTATGCACTCCAAGTGAGGAGTCAATTCTGAGAACTCTCAAAAGTGATTTCAGCACCACGGCTATGCACTGCAAGTGAGGAAGGTTGGGTGAAGGATGGGGCAAAGGGCGGAAGGAAGGAGGGAGGAAGGAGGGCGGAAGGAGGGCGCGGAAGGATGGAGGAATTCAAGCCCCTCCTTCTTTTCACACTACTTACATGCTTCGTGTACCATCCTCCCCCCCATCCTTTCTCTTCTCCCATCCCATCTCGCCTGTATTTTGTGCCCTGGGACGTCTCGCAACCCTCGTGCCCTTCACCCGTGCTCCCCTCCCTCCCCACTATAATTGCGTCTCTAGTGTAGGAGCCTTCAAGATTTCTTAGAAAAACGCCCAAACTCTTGCTGCGTTGGCCCACGTGTGCCCACCCCTAGCTCCTCCCCTTTCACCCAAGTCCCCCTCCAGCCCACCTTCTTTTCTCCTCCGCCCCACCTGCGTCGGCCCCCCATTTGCGTCCCCGTCCCCCCCCTCCCCCCCCAATCTTCGTTTCTCCCCCCCTCACCTGTGTCTCTGTGGCGGCGCTCTTGCTGACCAGGTCTGTGGTGGTTATGGCCGCGAGGTAATTCTGAGTCGACTCAAAGCTCTGCCTCCCACACGTCTGTCTCTATTCCCACCCGCACCTCTGAATCCCCCCTCACCTGTGTCTCTATGGCAACGCTCTTGCTGACCAGGTCCGTGGTGGTGATGGCCACTGCTGCTGCCAGCCCACTGAGAGGGAGAGCCGGGGCGAGGAGGGGAGAGGAGGGGAGAGGAGGGGAGAGGAGGGGAGAGGAGGGGAGAGGAGGGGAGAGGAGGGGAGAGTAGAGGAGAGTAGAGAAGGGAGTGAGGAAAGAATGGCGGTTGCAGGAGGGCGGGGAAGGGGGCCGGGGAGGGGGCAGGAGTTTGGGGAAGGAGAGAGAGGGGAAGAAGAGGAGTTGATTCAGAGGTTGTTTAGGGTCGCTGCATGTGCACGTGCAAGCGCATGTGCATGTGCAAGCGCATGTGCACATGCATGTCCATGCACACGTCCATGTGCATGTGCCTGTCCAGATAGATGCATAGCCTTACGCTTCAGGAGTGGACGATGCAGATTCAACCAGAGAGGGGAGAGCGTCGATAAGAGGAGCCTGCACGAGGGGGGAAAGCAGAGCAGTGTTCCAAAGGGAACGCTTAGCTGGTTAGTAGAACAGAGTGGAAACGAAACGAGAGCACACAGACAAGGAAGCGCGGAGTAGAAAACTGACATCCAAAAAGCGAGAAAGAAGGAAAGAAAAGGCATTTTAGACTGGGTGCGAAGCATGTGGTGGGCGGGTGATGGATCAGAGGCAGTGCTCCGTGGTGTTTTAGGCCACGGCAGAACGAGCGGCAGAACGAGCGGCAGAACGAGCGGCAGAACGAGCGGCAGAACGAGCGGCAGAACGGGCTCAACGGGCTCAACGGGCTCTTTGACTTTGACCTTTCCGAGCTCACTCACTCCACCCTTCCTCCTTCTTGATCCGCTGCCCAAACCCAATGACCCCGTTAACTGCACTAACCGCACCAGCACCAACACTGATGACACGAAGTGGCTTCTGTGTTGACTAAAACCAGAGTTTTCTTATTGACCCGGCAGCACCCACCTTCTTGATGCGCTGCCCAATGACCCCCGTTGACTGCACCAGCACTGACTCTGCTGACATGAAGAGGCTTTCGAGTTGACACGAAGAGGCTTTCAAATGTTACCCTATTGAGCTGCCTGGCAGCACCCACCTTCTTGATGCGCTGCCCAATGACCCCCGTTGACTGCACCAGCACTGATGCTGGTGGCACGAGGTGGGATTTGAGTCGACTCAACAGTTAAGCTATCCACCTGGTACTCTTCTTGCCTTTTGAGAAGTCTCAAAAGTGACTCCTGACCCTTCTTGCCCAACCCACCTTCTTGCCCAACCCACCTTCTTGCCCAACCCACCTTCTTGATGCGCTGCCCGATGACCCCTGTTGACTGCACCAGCACTGACTCTGCTGACACACCCAGCAGCTGTGGGAAGGCGGGGAAGTGGGGGAAGCAGCGGAAGTGGGGGGAAGCAGGGAGGCGGGGGAGGAAGAGGAAGCAGGGGAAGCAGAGGGCGGGCAGACAAGCACAGGTGAGACGCATTACGCAGAGATAGAGTGAGGCGAACGTGTATTGGGCAATGGTTGGGAGGAGCGGGCAGCGTGGAAAATGGAGAGGTTGAAACAACGAGCACAGGTGGGCGATGGGATTGGATGAGTGATTTGATGTGGGGAGGGCAACGGGGGAACAGGGGGATGGGGGTACGTGGAGCAACAGCAGAGGTGCAGTGAGAGCAAAGGATAGGAACGAATGGGACAGCCTTGGAGAGGAGCAGAAGCAGGCTTTTGAGTCGACTCAAAAGTCAACGTGGAGCAGCAGAGGTGCAGTGAGAGCAAAGGATAGGGACAAATGGCTCAGCCTTGGAGAGGAGCAGAAGCATTCACTGGGGAGGAGGTAAATGGGAATAGGATTGTTCAGGTGAACCCATGAGAAAGGAAGCTTGAGAAAGGAAGAGGGAAACTGTCTGCCCCCCATCCCATGCCGATCCATGACAAACAATGCCACAACGAAGCATGCTACAAGGTACCATGCCATGCCATGCCAAAACACATCACACCATAACATGCCATGCCATGCCATCCCATCCCATCCCATCCCATCCCATCCCATCCCATCCCATCCCATGCCATGCCATGCCATGTTGGTACCTTGGCCAGGGACTCAGCGCACTCGACGGTATCCGCGTAGCCAGCATCTCCCTGGATATGGGATGCATGGACGCATGGAGGAATGGCGGCACAGCATGGAGAGGGGACGGGAGCAAGGTCTTATCGTGGTGTGAGCGAGTGTACAGTATGGTACTAAGATGTGTGCGTGGGGAAGAGAGAAAGGGGTGGTAGAGGGGCAAGTGGCATGCGTGGAGAAGAGACAGCAAACGAGAGAGAGCTCTATTCATTCTATTCCACACGAAACTAAAGCACCCTGTGGGCACCCTGTGGGCGCCCACTCTAACAGAGCCAGTCGCATATGTGCGAGTCAGAATATGTGCGAGTCAGAATATGTGCGAGTCAGAATAATCGTGGTAACATGGGCAAGCACACACCCCTCTCACATGCACATGCTCGCTGCTGCTCTCTCTCTCGTGTGAGCATCAACTCTCTCTCTCGTGTGAGCATCAACTCTCTCTCTCGTGTGAGCATCAACTCTCTCTCTCGTGTGAGCATCAACTCTCTCTCTCGTGTGAGCATCAACAGGCGGATGACTCACCGTTGCTGCGTTCGCCTGCCCTGCATTAGCTATCACTGCTCGAGCCTGCATGTGCCACAACACAACACAGGCATCACAAGACAGCGCAACACGGCACGGCACAGCATGGCACAGCACAGCACAGCACAAACGCATTGTGTTGAGACATGAGCAGTAGGGAGAAGAGATGTAGCAGGGGTCAGGCCCTTGTGATGGTGCCTGATGTGCGCAAGGGCCGATATCACAGCATCACAAGGTGTGCTGGGTTGAACTTGAGACACCATGGCGTATGCATCACACCATGGCGCATGCATCACACCATGGCGCATGCATCACACCATGGCGTATGCATCACACCACACACTACCCAAAAGCACGCTTGTGAGGATTGTGCATCACTGTGCACGCTTGTGAGGATTGTGCATCACTGTTTCCCTCACTCCGTACTCTGCCCTCCATTGCCCCTTCCCTCCCTCCCCTCCCTCCATCCCTCCCTCCCTCGCCTTTCCTCTTCGCCCCTCTTCCCCCTAACCCCCTCTCGCCCCCAAGCCCCTCTCCTCCCCCCTTTTCCCTCTCTCCCCCACCGTGCTGGTCGCCTGCAGCGCCTTCTTGCAGTAGAGCACTGGCGCTGCCGCCACCACGTTCTGGGTGAACGCCGCTGCGGGAGGGGAAGGGGGACAAACGTGGGGGAGAGGGAGGGAGGGAAGAGGGCAGGGGAGAGGGGGAGGGGAGTGGGGGGGAGGGGAGGAGGGGAAGGGGGAGGGAGGGGAAAGGGGAGTGGACGGAGAGAAGAACAGGGTTTGAAGAGATAGGGGGAATGGATGCGGTGTGCATGAGAGGAGGAGAGGGTTTAAGGACCTGGGAGGGCATGGTTGGGGTGCAATGTGCAATGTGCAATGTGCAATGTGCAGTGCTGGTGAGAGGCATGCGGTCCAGGGGACTCACAGGACGAACACGAGAATGCAGGATAGGCGGTGGTGAAAGGGAGGGAGGGGATGCGGGTTGGGATAGTAGGAACAGGGACGGCACGGGGGGGTGGGGGGGAGGAGAGGAAAAGGGGGAAAGGGGTAAGGGGGAAAGGGGTAAGGGGGAAAGGGGTAAGGGGGAAAGGGGGGATGGGCTTGTCAGGGTGAGGAGTGCAGAAAAGGGGTTGTGGAAAGGAGTTGTGAAAAGCAGGCGTTCTTAAAGGCGTGGAGAGGAGGTGAAGGCATGCGTGCACCTGCAACAGTGGCATCAGAGCACGTGAAGCCAGGTCTGGCTTCTGTGTGGTCTCAATATTACCTCCAAATGACCTCCAAATGACCTCCAAATGACCTCCAAATGACCTCCAAATGACCTCCAAATGTCCTCCAAATGTCCTCCAAATGACCTCCAAATGACCTCCAAATGACCTCCAAATGACCTCCAAATGACCTCCAAATGTCCTCCAAATGTCCTCCAAATGACCTCCAAATGACCTCCAAATGACCTCCAAATGACCTCCAAATGACCTCCAAATGACCTCCAAATGACCTCCAAATGTCCTCCAAATAACCTCCAAATGTCCTCCAAATGTCCTCCAAATGACCTCCAAATGTCCTCCAAATGTCCTCCAAATGACCTCCAAATGACCTCCAAATGACCTCCAAATGACCTCCAAATGTCCTCCAAATGTCCTCCGAATGACCTCCAAATGACCTCCAAATGACCTCCAAATGACCTCCAAATGACCTCCAAATGACCTCCAAATGTCCTCCAAATGTCCTCCAAATGTCCTCCAAATGTCCTCCAAATGACCTCCAAATGTCCTCCAAATGTCCTCCAAATGACCTCCAAATGTCCTCCAAATGTCCTCCAAATGACCTCCAAATGACCTCCAAATGACCTCCAAATGACCTCCAAATGACCTCCAAATGTCCTCCAAATGTCCTCCAAATGTCCTCCAAATGACCTCCAAATGTCCTCCAAATGTCCTCCAAATGTCCTCCAAATGTCCTCCAAATGTCCTCACTTGTGAGTGCAGTGAGAAGCCATCATGGCGCACCTGCAACGGTGGCGTCACTGTCCGCGAGCACGAGAGAAAGGTCTGGCTTCTGCCCCGCTGCTCTCAGCGCCGCGTACTTGCCGTACGCCTTGAAGCCCTTAGCCGCCACCACCCCCCCCTCCACCTGCCAGTAGCCACACACACGAGCGTGGATGGGCGTGGATGGGTGTGGATGGGTGTGGATGGGTGTGGACAGACAGACTCTCTTACACCTACCTGCACTTGAAGCATTCATTCACTCACTCACTCACTCATTCACTCGCTCATTCACTCACTCATTCACTCACTCACTCACTCACTCACTCACTCACTCACTCACTCACTCACTCACTCACTCATTCCTCCTGTCTTTCAAAGCTTGTATTCGAAACACCTCGAGTCCACTTCTCCGCCACCCTTGTACTCGATATGGGATCCACGCGTACCTTCACATAAGATTACCATAAACACCACCCTATACAACTCACGGTTACCACCAAACAGAAACGGCGTTGCCACCAGTTAAGGGCCACCCGTAACCACCATAGCATCCTTCTGCTCTCATTGTTCCTCACTCCCTCTTCCACTCCCCACTCGTCTCTCTCTCATGTCACCCCCTTCCGCGCGCCCCCGTCCCCCTCTCCCCGCACCTACTCCCCCCTCCCCCCCGCATGCGCAACCAACCCTCCCCTTCACCTGTTCCGCTCTTCCGCCCTGTCGAACTCCTCTTCCTCCATCCCCCCACCACCCACCCCCAAACCCACGCACCGGTTTCTTTCCCCTCTCCTCCCCTCCCTCCCCCCCTTCTTTCCCGACTTCCCCCAGCCGCGCACCTCTTTCCAGGGCCCCTCGGGCAGCAGGATGGGCGCGGCGGGAATGAACTTCCCCGCCTCCGCTGCTGCCGCCTCCGCTTCCGCCGACGCTGCGCTCACGCGCATTCTGAACGGCCGTTGCGCGGGCTGGGGATTGCGAGCGGGAGGCGAGGGGACGGAAGGGGGCGGGGGAGGGGGAAAAGAAGAGAAAAAAGAGGGGCGGAGGGGTAGGGGGGTAAGGGGGGGGGAATGGGGGGGAAGGGAGAAGGGCAAGGGTGGAAAGGGGAAAAAATGGGATGGAAGGATGTTAGAGGTAGGGGAGGGAGATAAGGCGGGAGGGGGAGAGTTAAATACGATGAAGCGGTACTAGAGAGAGAGCGGGGCGCATCCGGGAAAACGAACGGACGAGGCAGAAGGAATTTAAGTGAACCAAATGGGAGGATGCTCTGCATACCCACAAACGCAGAATAGCCTTGTCGTGGGACGGCAGAGAGGAGAGACAAGAAAAAGCGAACGAGGAAAACAAGACTGCGATTCGCGTGAAAGGGGTGGCCAGAAGAAGACTCGAAACGGAAGAATGCATGCTCGAGAAAGGTGAGACCGTTAAGGCGCCTGAAGGATCCGACTCAACCCATGATAAGGTGAGGTAGATAATCAGGTGCCTGGGAATAAACAATTCCTTTGTTCAACCCATTGAGGACCAGCAGGCTTGCTGTGGCGCGACAGTGAGTCGATACAAAAGTCAGTGCTTACCTTGCAGGTCAGCGGGGAGTAGCGCCGAGAGAGCTCGCGGCCAGCGAAGCTCCGACCAGCTGCTAGACAGGCTCGCGCAGCCGCTTGGCGATCTGAGATTAACGCGAGAGAAGAAGAGGGATAACGAGAGAGGAGGCGCAAGGTCGCTCCGTTGATTTGTGCCGATCGGAATTTGGAAAACGCGTACCGCGCATGGATAAAGTTGCGACGAATCGCAACCTGGAGCGCGCCGCGCGTATGGATCAAGGTGCGGCGAATTGCAATTTGGGAAATGCCGTGGGTGACTGATTGCTACGAAACAAGGGCGACAAGTAACACCTTCTGCGACGAATCTCGTGCTCGCACCTTTGCGATCCGACGCTTGGGCGGTCGAAATGACAGTCGACGCGGCACGGGTGCTGATGGAGGATGAGGTGACGGCAGCCATGGCTGGGTTGATTGTGCGTGGAGTGGGTTTCTCAAAATCCGTACTCTAACCACAGTCGGATGGAATATATCTGAACAATCAGAATTCCGAATTCAGCTTTTTTTTTGCATTCGGATTTTAGAAACGCGTGGGGGGAAGGCGCTGCAGGGAAATGGGGAAAGGGGAGGGTAGGGGTGGGAGGGCGGGGTGGGGTGGGAGGGGGGAAAGGGTTTGAGGGAGGGGGAATTGCCTGGTAGGGAAGGGGGAAGGAAAAAATTGCGCTGGACGTCCCCTGTGGAAGACACCAAGTGTCTACTTTACTGGGAGCCGTCGATTGAAATTGCGATGGCGAGGTGTCACAGGCTGATGACTTTGGCTGCTGAAGGAGTAGAGGTTTATCATCCAATCGGAACGCCGCACGGCCCACGTGGTACCTCCTTAGGAACAAACTCGGTTGCCGTTATTATGAGAGTGCGGTTTTCGTACAAGCTGACGAGGTAAGAAAGGTTGAGCTTTATAACAAAGTGCTCAAAATCAGAGAGCATAAGACTGAACTATTTACTAAATGGTGATGTTATAGCATATACGGTATCACGGGGATGACGATATATGATCCTGATGGACCTGAAATGGAATCTTTACGTTGGACACAAAAAGAGTCCACAGTGTACCCCGATGTTTTGATTGGGAGCGGGAGGAGGCTTGGGTTCTCTACTGCACAGGTGCTCACACTAGTTGCTGCTATGCCATGTCACCAACAATGAAGATACCATCTATCCATATTTGTGACTGCAGTACACATAATCAATGACCGCGTCTAGCAATTAGCATGCACAAATGATAGAGCAATTCACCGAGCACGTAACCACCTGCCCAATCCGTTTCACGGCACCTCTTCCCTTCATTTGCCACTACCAGGCGAACCACTGCCACTGCTGCCGACAGTGCTGCCCTTGATGCCTCCCTGCACTTCACTGTCCACGTCATCATCTCTATCCATGGACGCCTGCGCATGTGCTCCAAGCTTCACAATATCCTCCACTAAGATCTTCCCATCTGGCACCAACGAGGAAAACACACAAAACCCAAAGAGAAGAATCAGCATATGAACAGAAAGCAAGAGAAGACAATCAAGCAGCCCCCACTAACCAACTGACAGACTACCACCACCCCAACCCCCATCATTCATCCCACTGCCTGTCCTTCACAGCCCGTACATCTCCCATCCATCAAGAATCACGCTCCAAGCTCAGCAGGCACCTCTCGCACTCCATAACACCCAACGATCTCCTCCCTTCAACACCCCACTCTGACCCACCCTGCCCACTCCCATCCTCCCACCATCGCACTCCATCCTCCATCCCCCCACCCTCCCTCCCCTCCCTCAGCCTGCCACGCACCTGCGTCCTTGGCGAGGTTGCTGATGAGCTCCTCCAGCCCCTCCTGCCCCAGGCTGTCCCTCAGTAGCGCTGCTGCCGCCCCCACCTCCTCTGGGCTCACCTTGCCGTCATAGTCACTGCATACACAGTCACACATGTTCGAAATCATGCAGAAGAACAGTGGGGGAGCAACAGTTTGTGGTGGGGATGAGAAGTTGTAAGAGGTGAAGCGGTTGGAAGAGGAGGAGGAGGAGGAGGAGGAGGAGGAGGAGGAGGAGGAGGAGGAGGAGGAGGAGGAGGAGGAGGAGGAGGAGGAGGAGGAGGAGGAGGAGGAGGAGGAGGAGGAGGGACCAGGGGAGAAGAGTCACAGGGAAACGAGGAAACAAGAACCACACTGGACGATAAAACTCATATGGAAAGCGAACCAGATTGAGAAACAAACAGGAGGAAGAGCATGGTTGGCAGGAAGACGCACCAAAGCCTCATGGACAACTGGCAAGCACACAACAGGCGCACACAAGCGCAAGTTAATCGTTGTGCGCTGTTCCGGATTTGTCCCACACAGGCATTCCCTAGCCTGTGCCCAGGTGCAGATACGTGCAAGGACCTGCCTTCCTGTGACTGCCACGACCACCACTGCTGTTGCTGCTGCTGCAACTGTTGAGATAAGCGTGCTAAAATAAAGCTCCTTCTCATTGAGGTGTTATGAGGCTGATGGTGTGCTGGCATTGGGTTCGTTGCTATCAAGTTGCCGCCATGCGACACTTCTGCTTCAGATTGTGAATCTTGTGTTGGCAGCAGGCTAGTTTGCACCAATGATCCGCCAGATGAACTGCCAGCTCACGTGCATTCTTAGCCCTACACTGCCAGTGATTATGTCCTGAGGGGCTAGTTATCGTGTGCTACGAATGAATGCGGAGTCACGGCAAAGGTGTGAAAGTGGGAGAGGGAGGTTGGGGAGACGGCGCACTCACGTGTCAAGTGTCTTGAGTCGCTTGCCTATCTTGGCGTCTGCACTGTCCAACTCCTTCTCAAGCTTGTGCAGCATTGAGTCCACCTGGTAGGGTTTAGGGCGGAGGTGGACGGAAGGGGGAAAGGGGGGATCGTGCAAATGCAAAGACATTTTGAGTCAACTCAGAAGCTTGCCTATCTTGGCGCCTGCACTGTCCAGTTCCTTCTCTACCTTGTGCAGTACTGGAGACGCAGGGTGAAGAGCAAAAGCAGCAAGAACAGCAGTGGAACAATCTGCCAGCAGCCAGAAGCAGCCTCCACCCCCTGCAGGGGAAGGGCAGCAGCAGGAGGTGGGGGAAGGGCGGCAGCAGGAGGCGGGGGCAGGAAAACGCCCTTAACGGGTGGAGGCTGCTGCTGGCTGCTGGCTGCTGTTCGACTGCTGAACTTGTTGCTTTTGCTCTTCTCCCTGCAGAGAAAGATGACAATGCCACACTGATGCACATATATGCACGCATGCGTGCACACACACGCACACACCCGCAGCCTCCCCCTCCCCCCATCCGCCCTCAAGTAAGGAAACGAGGACACCACAGCAGCGAACGTAAAGACAAAGTGAGGCAGATGGAGGTTTACCTTGGAAATGAGTGCGTCAGACACATCAGAAGCAGCAGCCTCGCTTGCCTCCTTCTCACTCGCCTCCCTCGCTGCGGCATACGCCACCCGCAGCTCCTCCGCGCCCTCTGTGCCGTGCTGCTGCACCATGCTGTTGTACAGCTCGATCTGCGGCGAGGGGAGCGAGGGTTGGGGAGTGAATGATGGGGGAAAATGGTTGGTGCACGCATGGGAGGCCTCAAGGGAGTCCCTTCGCGCCCTCTGCCATGCTGCTGCACCATGCTGCTGTACAGCTCTATCTGGGAAAAGGGGAGAGTGGCAGAGGCGGTTGTGGGGCGGATGATGGAAAGGAATGGTTGTTGGCTCAGGAAAGACCTTATAGAATACCATCCGTGGGAAAAGCTTATAGGACTCCACCCTGTGCCGTGCTGATGTGCTCTAGGGCTGTTACAGAAAACAGTCTGGGGGGCAGAAAGATTGGGGAAACGAGAGGTGGAGAGTTGACCCATGGGATGGAAACATGAATGTAACTGAAACGAAGAAAGTATTCTGGGGGCAGGAGCAGAGGGTGAGGGAGCGGAACAAGAAATAACCCAACAATTAACTCCACCAAAACCCCTACTAAAGCCAAAGACAAACCAATCCCCTGAAACTGAAACGTCACCCTTGGGTGCATGGCATGCCCCTCACCTCCTTGTTCACTAGGCGCAGGAAGTCAGCTCGCTCCTTTGCAACCGACTGCACAGGCGGGCGGATTTCGTGGGTGGGCAGGAGTGATGGGGAATGCGGGGTGGGGGAAGGGTGTTGAGAGTGGTGATAGAGGAAAGGAATGAGGGCACGGGATGTGTGGGGGAAGGATAACCATGAAAAACGGAAAAGCATGAAGGAAGGAAAAGAAAGAGGGAAGAACGAGAGAAGGAAAAGCTTGACAGAAGGAAAGGGAAGGCATGCAAGGAAGGCGACATGGGAACGGGGAAGGGGACGAAGCCAGAGTTCAGCAGTCACACCACCCTCACGAACTGCTCCCTCCTTCCTAATAATGCTCTCCCTTCCTCCCATCTCCTCACTTGGACCCTCCATCCCATCCCATCCCATCCCATCCCATCCCATCCCATCCCATCCCATCCCATCCCATCCCATCCCATCCCATCCCATTCCATCCCCTCCCCTCCCATCCTCTCCCCTCCACTCCCATCCTCTCCCCTGCACTCCCCTCCCATCCCCTCCCCTCCCTTCCTATCCCCTCCCCTCAACTCTCACCCCCACTTCACCCCTCATCTGCACGCACGGAGCTGGAGGCGAGCACAGCGAGAGCAGCACTGAGGTCGCACAGCTGGTCCTTCTTCGCCAGGGCTTTGCGCTCTGCCAGCGCCCGCGCCTCCTCGCCCTCCACCGCAGCCCGTTCCACTGCCGCTGCCCCTGCTCCTTCTCCCGCCATGCCAGCAGCGGGCGCTGCTGCAGCAGCAGCGGTGGTAGTGGTGGTGGTGGCGGCTGCTGGGGTGGGAAGCGCCTCGCGCATCTCCTCTCTGGCAAGGTCTCGCCCTCCTGCTAGCTGCAGCCGTGCTGCCTCCTGTGCCTCCTCCTGCTTGAAGGAAAACAGGGGAAAGTGGAGAGAGAAGCAAGGAATGTGAGAGAGACGAAGGGAAGAGCAGGTGTGGGGTTATGGCGGGTGGTGCAAGGAGGGACGGGGGGGGATAGGTGAGAACGGATTAGGAAAATCTGTGGGAGAGTAATGAGGGTTTGAACACCAGGAGAGTGATAAAGATAGGGAGCGGGAGTAAGATGCAAGCAAATGCTAAACAAACCATTGATGCACGATACGCAAACAGCATCAGGGTGCAAATCTAGGCTGCAGATGCCAGCTGCTTCCATGCCCCGCTTTCGTGGGTAAGACAGTTTTTCCGTATCATTTTAGTGACACATCATCCTTCCATCCCTACCCACCTCCACCCCTCGCTCCCTCCTGCTCTTCCTCCCCTCGCCCCTCCCCCTCCCCCTCCCCCTCCCCCCTCCACCCTCCACCCTCCCATTCATCTCTCTCACCTCAATGAGCCGCTCCTGCTCCTTGATGAGCTTGAGCTTGAGCAGGCGTGCAGACGTCTCTGCCTCGTCGTCGCTGGGCACGGTGGCGCCCACAGACCGCACCACCTCCGCTGGCAGCGACGAGAGCGTCGCCTGCACTGCCTCCTCCGGCCGCTTGCTGCCCACCAGGAACGCCCTGAGGGAGGAAGAGAGGGAGGGAAGAGGGAGGTGGGGGAGAGGCGGAGTAGAAAGTTGGGGAAAGGAGAAGAGGAGTGAAGAAAATGCTGGAGATGGGCACTGTGGCCCCTAGAGTTGGCATCACCACCGTTACACCAAAGTTGGTGCCCATCAGGAAAGAGGGGGAGAAAAGATTGATTGACGGAAGGGAGTGCGGTTGCAAAAAAAAAAAAAAACAACAAACAACAACAACTTCTAAAGCGGAAGAGCTTCAAACAATAAGATAGACGGGTTGTAGGTGCATGGGTGTTACTGACCTTGAGAGGATGAGAAGGGAGGAAGGCACGGAGCGGTTGAGAGCCAGGTCCAACCAGTCCCGCAGCTGTGGGGTTCACACGAGGGAGCATGTGACGTGTCAACATGGGCGCACATACCAACACAAACACGAAACATAAGGATTGGAGACGTAACACAAAAAAAGGGATCGCAAGACACAAGTCAGGGCAAAACACGAGGAGAAATGTTGCGACACAAGGCTGCGACACTCTCTAGGTGACTTTGAGTCGATGTGCAAATGATCTCTGTTGTGAAATGGATCTTTTCCTGTGTGCGAGCGAGCCCCTCACCTGCTTCCTCATGTCGTCCACAGAGCGCAGCCCCAGCATGCCCCTCTCCCTGCACGCTGCCCTCAGCTCCCCTTCTGACAGAGACTCCACGCCCTCACTCTGAATCATCTTGTCGTCCTCCTTGATCCTGGGAGCACATGCACAGGGGGGTGCGCACAGTTGCAATGAGTCAGCAGTGGGAGGGGGGCGGGTGAGGAGGGAGGTGAGATGATGAGTGGGGCAGGGAGAGCGTGGGAGGGAGGGGAAGATGGGGAGGTTGGGAAAAGGTGCGGGGCAGGAAAGGAATGGGAGGGAGGTGGGAGTGGGGACGGGAAGGGGGGAGGGAGGGGGAGAAAATGGTGGCACTTGTGATAGGAGAGTAACGACGAGAGCGGATGCAAAGCAGTAGAAATCCTGCTTGACAGATGCACTGTGACATGCCAACAAGAACACTGGGAACATATAGGCTCCGAACGGCGCGGGCGTTGACTGAAATGACTCAAAGCGGCGCCAAGTGTTGGCACGTGATTGGTCCTAGCAGCTCACCAGGCAAGCTTGGCGCGCAGGATGTAGCGCAGATAGGCGTCTGTGCCGAAAGTCTGCAGACCCATGTACTTGCACATGCTAACCAGACGAGGCCTGGGAGGGCGCATGTGTGTGTGTGGTTGGAAAAAGTGTGTGTGCGGATGGAGAAAGTGTGTGTGTGCACAGAGGGAGGGAGAGGGTGAATGGCAATGTCAACAGTGACGTCAATGGTGATGCCGATCGTGACGTCATAGTGATGGCAATGGTGATATTTGTGGTGAATTCCCAAGTACTGGCTTTTGCATTGCACGAGGCAGATAAAGCACAAAACCCCTTGGTCTTTAAGCCCTGGTCCCCTAACACTCCGACAGCCATGGGTGATAATAAACACTTGATAGCAGATTGTGCAAGTGGGAGGCTACGAGCATTTATGCGGACAAGCTACCATGCCACACACGCACTCACATAGGGGCGACACAAGCACTCACCTGGACATGTTATCGAGTGTGAGCTCATCATTGAAGAGCGACGCAAACGCCACAATCTCCTCATTCGTCACGCGCCCTCCCGTGTTCACCTGCTCGCACCACCAGTCACCCAGCACACCACCAAGCAACAGCAGCAAACAATCACCGCGCGCAGAGCATTGATCAGCACAATTATAACCCTCGTCTGATGTCTCGTTTGGGACAATGAAGACCACGATTGGACGCAAATTCAACTAGTTCAGTGTGCGTATTCACCAGATTCAGTCTTTTCTTCATCCCCTGGATCTTGAATGGCGTCTGCAAGTAGCAAGCCATAGATCCCTCCATCATAACCTTACAGACAACCCCATCCTCCCCTCAACCCACCCACCTTACTCCATCCGTCCCATGCAATCCCTCCCAACAACCCCGGTCTCTCTCAAACCCCTTCCCCCCTCCCCTGCCCCAGCCCCCGCCCACACACACTCTTCGAACCCCCCCTCCCCCTCCTCAACACACACACCCTCTTTCGACCCCACACCCTGTACCCCCATCCTCCCCCCCCCGACGAGCTAACGCACTCACCTTCTTCATGAACTTCTGCAGCTCCTCCGCCGTGCGCTTGACCTCGCCCGACCGGCGGCTCTTCACCTCCTTGGCCATCTCGCCCACCGTGCCCTGCAGGAATCGTGCCATCTCCAGCCGCGCCTGCAGCCGCCGCTTCAGCTTCTCCTGCTCGCGCGCACAATGGGGAGGGTGGGGGGTTGCGGAGACGGGGGAGGAGGCGGAGGAGGGGGAGGGCGAGGAGGAGGGGGATGTGGAGGGAACAAGTGCGAGGGACGTACGTAACGCGGCACAGACAAGGAATTTTGGTTTCGCCAACGCCGTGAGTGTTACCAGTCTTGCTGAAAAATGCAAAAGCAACTATCGAGTGAAAAGAGAAAGAACGAATGCGAGAGTAAGGCAAGAAGGGATAAGGGTAGAGGAAGGGGGGGTTACGTGAAGGGGAGGGGGGGAAGAGGGGGGGGGGGGGGGGGGGTGGGGGGGAAGGGGGGAAGGGGGGAGGAAGAGGGGGCGAACGGAGGCAAAGGGACGAGGACATTCGACGGACATTCAAAATGCACGCGGTACCAGCAGGGTGTCCTACCAGTGATCTTACCTCTTCCTTGTTCTTGTCTTGGAAAGTCGACGGCAGCATGTTGGGGAAGAGCCTTAGCGCCAGCGGAAGCAGGAACTCCAGGAACGGCACGATCACAAACACGGCAAACGGCACGAGCCTGAAGATATCCGCCGACGTGCGAGTCAGCTGCTGCCTCTCCCTCCTCGTCAGCGCTTTCCCGTTCGCCGCTTTCAGCATGAGACGCGAGCTGATCCTGATATCAGCCCACAGGAGCTTGGATCCCACCCAGTAATGGTGTGCGCCGTGCTTGATCGCCTTCCACAAACCCTTGAACGTCCCGGACCAATCCGCGGCTGACATGCGAGCCACGGACGAGATGCCACGTGGCACGGCCAGCAGCAGCTGCCACGTGCGCGACAGCACGGCGAGCACGAGGAGCAGCGACGCGCGGACGACCCCGCGGCCCTTGCTGACGGCTTCTCTCGTCGCTCTCACGCGGGCGCGCACCTCACCGAGGTCCTCCACCGCCTCGTCGCACTCCTCCGCTAGCTCCTCGCCCGCAATCCGCGCTGCGCGATCCGCGCTGGTGGCACCTCCGGAAGGACCGTGCGCTCCCGAGCCTGCAGGAGCCGATTGCGCTGGTGTTGCAGCTGAAACCCCTGATCCTCTTCCTCCAGAATCGGTTGAAAAGCCTGCTGCTGCTGCAGATGCGGTGGTGGATGATGCTCCAGACTCGGCTCGCACGGAACTAGCCGGCAACCCATGTCCGGGCAATGCGGATGATCTCGGGGAGGTGGATACGTGACGTCTGAAGCGAGTAGAGCTTGCAGTGACCGTGCTGTGCGGAATGGGCGCGCCTATTGAGAAAGAATCCCCGGGCGATCTAGTCAGAACACCTCCTCGTGTTGGATTCCCGGGAACGTGATCGCTGGAATGAAATTGATCCCTGACTGACTGATAGTCTAGTGCTGTCCGGCCGCGTCTACGTATCCCCGAGGAGCGATCGCGGGAGCTTGCAGGAGTAAGAATGGCAGCCGCTGATGCGGGAAGCAGCGATTTTTGTCCGGACGGTGCACTACCCTGATCTCTTAAAAGACTAGGAGTTCCGAAGCTCCCAAAACCCAAAGATTTGGCTGTTCTGAAAGGCTGATGCGATTCCGGCGAGAAATGGTCGGACAAGACACCATGGTCAGGCATTGGCTTTGCGTCTTCAAAACCAGCAGTCCCAGGTATCGGGATTGTCGGCCCCCGAGCGTGCTGCAGGGTAGTGAGATTCGAATCCGAAGCTTGAGATTCATCCTTCAATGAATGCGCCGATACCGTCGAAAATGGACGACAGTTTTCGGTAGACCTAGCAGGCGTGCTCTGCAAGGATTCTAGCGCTTTCGAAATCGGAGCCGCTGATAGGCGACGAGAAGCCGAGCGCCTGGCACCTGCGAGATGCTTGAGACCTTGACGCGTAGCCATGGCTGCCTGGTGCTCGGCGTTGCAAACTCACGCTATTTTCTAAAGGTCAGGGATAAGCTACATGAGCGGTCGCATCAGGACTGTGCAAATGTTTGTCGGTGTGCTCTGCAGACTGGAATCACCCTATAACCATGCAAAGGCGCTTCGACAATGTCACAAGAGACGATCGCGAAGCGGAACGCGAAAAGGAGCGAGGTCAAAATACAGTATCAGGAAACTTGAAAGCGTGGGTGCAAGTGTTGGCTCCGCTTCTCCTGTATGTGAAGGGTGATATCTTGGACAGTAACTGGTGTTAGCTTCAATGTCCAGATCTAACCACACAATTGCAAAAGAGCTTCAGGAAGCTGGAGGAAGCGCGGAGGATGAACGCAAACGGGCCATCAAATCTCGTCCATGCGGGAGGCTGCACGCAGGAGATGGAAAGATACCTCAAGCCTTCCCTGTTCAATGAGAAGATTCTGGTTGACTGGAAGGGACTCTCCTAGCGCAGGTGGTATTAAGTGGTGTAGCATGTTACGTGATGGTTTGGAGCGTTGCAGTGAGATGGAGGTTATGCGGAGGTTATGCGAAAATATGTGGCTCTTGTCTGGGGAAGGGAGGCAGCGGCGCGCTCTGTGTGATCCGGACGAATCTCAAGGTGGCGTGTGCTTCTGGAGAAGCATGTCTTCATGATTTCATGGGACACGAATCACAGGATGGCATCATGTTACGGCGAACGCAAAGCTCCTTCTACACTTGGTTCGCGTGAATCTGGGTAACGTCACAGGTTGCCTGATTTTCTGGGTCATTTCTCCCGTTGAAGCAGCCTGTGATCTGTCGCCAGGTGGAGAAAGAAGAGAGATGAGATTTCGATTTTTGACACGGTGGATTTCCGTGCCACACATTTGAAGACGTGGACCCCACAAATGTGGGAAAGTGTAAGCAGCCCAGGATCGTTGAACCTGAAGATTTCCTACACTTCGTTAGGCCTTTGGCCTAAAGTCATTAACTACTAGAATATCCAAGTATCCTTATAATATTTTCAACTTTGGCTAAGAGATGTGTTGGAAATTGAATGATATTGGCAAACAAAGAGAAGCATGATATAGCATGCAAGAGAAAATATATGAAATAAAACATTGTGGGCCAATGGAATGTAATGTGTTGCAATCTCATGGGGGACTTTGCCAGGATCGTCTCGGGTTGATCACAGGATGATATTGCAGTGGAAGTGTGATTGTAAAATGACTGAAGTAACTATAACAAAGACATACATAGGTTTTTAGGAATATGAAACGACCTACCGTATCACCCCGGATATAAGCGCATGCGCACCTAAAAAACATAAAATTTTAGGGGGGTGCGCGCGCAGGGCTGACGTTATCAGACTATTTTAGTCTGATTGTCTGAAATTTCAGACTATTTTTCCTAGTAATCCTGATTTTTCAGAGTTGCCCAATTTTCAAACATGAGTGCTTCAGACTTACCTTTTTATGAATACTGAGAAAATCAGAGTAGTGACTTAGCGAATTATGGGTCTTTTGTCTACAGAGAGTACGGACGGACCCTGAGATGCTACTCTATACTTTCTACGAAATTTCTGCACTTGGCATTTTTCGCCACCCGTTTTTCTATGGGGCGCCAAATTGGGGCGCTGATTCTGCCACCCGTGGCAAAATTGCTGCTGCCACGCAGCATGGGGAAATTCAGCAGGGGGGAATTCAGCAGCAGTGTGCTGGGGCAGTCAGGTCTATTCGCGCTGCGATGCGACCTGCACGGCACAGCAGTGCTGTGGGACGGGCATGGCGGTGTGACACCACCGATTGCAGTCACATATCCTCTCTTGTAGGTAGCAGTGGTATGGTATAAGTGATTTTGCATTGCCAAGTACTTCAGACTTGGTTTTTGAAACCTGAAAAACCAGAGTAATATTTCCTTGGAAAATATGCCTCAGACATTTTTTTTTTTTTACCCCAAAAAATTTCAGACTGGTTTTTTTTGAAACGTCAGCCCTGTGCGCGCGCCGCATGCGCCAATAAAATGTTAAAAATGAAATTCAAATTTAAACATACCAAACTGAAGCTCTCAATAAGGCGAACACAGCCGAACAACGTTCACGTGGGATCTGTTACAACCTGAAATGACAGTATATAGGATCTTCTCAGGTTGATCGCACGTAGTGTTGTCAGAAATATATAATTTCTAACACACCCCCTAACTGCCTGCAGTGGGAGCCACGTGCAGAGACACCAGATCAGAATAGCACAGTAGGTGTACGGTGGCAGAGGCACCGGCGGCAGGTGCGGCGGTGGTAGGAAGACTTCACTCCCGCCACCCCCTCACCCTCCTCCCCCACTGCAGTAGGTGTGGCAGTAGGAGGCGGCTATTGCTGAAACACGGGGAGGCGGCTGCTGCTGAAACACGGGGAGGCGGCTGCTGCTGAAACACGGGGAGGCGGCTGAAGCTGAAACACGTCCGCCACCCCTCACCCTCCCCCCACAGCAGCAGGCGCATCCGTGAGAGAGGAGGAGGCGTGGCGGCAGCTGCTGTTGCTAAAACACATCCGCCACCCCCTCACACCCTCTCCCCCCCTCCCCCCCCCCAAACTGCTGCACGCGCAGCAGGGAGATGGAGGAGAAGGGGGGGGGGGGGCGGGGTATGAGCTGCGCGCGCGACTGCAGGGCGCGCGGGCAGGCAGAAACCGTCGCGCGCTCGAGGCGCGCGACGGGCAGAAACCGACGCGCGCCCGGGGCGCGCGACGGGCAGGAACCGACGCGCAGCCGGGGCGCGCATCGGGCAGGAACCGACGCGCGCCCAGGGCGCGCGACGGGCAGAAACCGACGCTCGCCCTGGGCGTGCGACGGGCAGCTTGACGGACTGCGCCATAGCGGAAGCTAATGGTGGGCCCAAAGATGAAGGCTCTAGGAACGAGCCTGCTCTGAATACCATGTCAAATTAGGCTCATAACTCACTGCTTAGTTACCTAGGGTTTTGGCTAGGAAACGTGAGTGTGGAGAGGAAGGTTTGGAAGAAGTCGACCCCCTGTCGCTGACTGAAGCCTCGAGCAACGTAACGCGCCTTGAAGGCAGGCGGAGAACCCGGCGGCCGCTTCACTCTGAAATTCCACATGCCATCGACTATGTTCGCCCCAGGAGGGGGAACCTCG